ATGATTGACAGAAATGTGATTGGTAGATCACGCATCGTGACAGACATCACATGCATAGTTTCAGCTCTAACTGGAAATGTCCTACGCTACGCTTCAGACAATTAAATAAATTTTCTCGAATATTTTTATGTAGCAGAAAAAATTTGTTTAATTATATTACTTATATTTTTTTAATATCTATTTTATATAAAATTAGATTGAATTTTTTAAATTAAAATTTTCTTTTTTAAAAACAATTTTTTTATGTATAGAATTAATATTATTTTATTTTATTTTTAATATAAATCATTAATGGTAAGTAACTTGTAATCTTTGACCAATTCATATCCCTCTCCTACCATCATCCTCTAACTCACTAGATTTAAGTAAATATCTTATAAGATTATTATAGAATAATTGCTTTTCATCATATCCTATAGGACTATCATGAAGTTTAAAAGGCTTAGGTATAACACTTTTTTTTTTATTACATTAGCAGGAGAAATACCAAGTTGACATGTGATAAAATTATTAATGTTCTTAACAACTATAGGTAAATTCTTTACCTAAACTCAGAATCATTTATCTAAATGCAAAGTCAAGAGATTAGAAGCATCCTGAAATAAAAACAATTTTTCAGTTAAAGTTCAGTTATATCTTTTAATAATGCCAACAGTTAGCTTAGACTTAACCTTCTAAAATTCTAATATTATATTTGGTTTCTTAGTAACTTTTCACATTCGTTCTCAAATTCAGAATCCTTATCAATAATTAACAATTTTAGCCAGACAAAAAAACACTCAGGATCATCATAGATTTTCTCAAGAACTTAAGTAATAGTCTTTGAGATCAAGATACCTTTCTTATCCTTAATACTAGTAGCACTTATAGGAATAGATTTATATCTCGAAGTCACATCTACTACATTAAGACAAAAAAGATAGGTAACCTGTTCTATTTTATCATAATACATATAAAAAACATTTGTCTAGTAAACTTCATTAGGAGTAGTAATAAAAGTAAAACTTGCTTGTGAATATATCTAGGATGAGCTTTATGTATCTGATGCATAGCTTGTCTCTTAAGTCAATCATACACTTCATTCAAGGTAAAATCAAATCCAGCTTTTTAAGAAGTTTTATGCAATTTTTTAGTGTTTCTTTGATAACCAATAGGCTGTAATAAATCTTTTGTAAATCAATAAATATATCTAAATTTCTAACTTTACTGGAATCTATATGTATAATAAAAATTAATATTTTTTCTTATATTCATTTGAAAAAAGACCAAAATTAATACATTAATATTTAAAATACCACTTTGCAAACTCATACTTCTGAAAGTCTATGATTGAGAAAAGAGAAGAGGCTTATATTAAACTTTATAATACTAATAAAGTGTTGTGAAAAAATTAGCTGAAGAAATAGTAACAAATAAATATTCTGAGAAAAAGATTCATGAACTTTATAAAAAGGTAGACAAATGTTATAAGACTATATCCAAGCAAGATTCTACAATCATAGATCATGAAGATGAGATAACATCTCTTAAAAAAGAATTATATCTCTCAAATAATATCTTTGAAAAGCTTTACAAAATGTAAAACAAAAGGATGAGTTAGAAAATAAGGTTAAGTAACTTAAGACCTGTATTTATGAAATAACTGACTTAAGTCAGAAAAAAGTTTTAAATAATAAATTAATATTATATATAGAGCATACAATATAAGCAATATTATATAGATGATTTGAGGCATCATCCTCTTTAGCAAGTATTTAGATATATTTTGATGATACAGAAGTTATCCTTTTAGATGATATAAGAAAACAATTTGATAGAATTGGTACATATTTGACTAATATTATTACTTACACTAGCTTAGTTCAAAGATATTGGCAAGATTAGAATATAGTAGTTGAACAAGGTATTTGACAAGCTAGAAATCTAAGCTGATAATTGCAAGAAGTCTGAACAAGATCACAGAATGATAACCAAATGTTAACACAAGCTCTAAATAATGAAGCAAATAAGTATTGGGTATGATGGCTTAGGACTTAGGAAGCAGAAAGGCATAACCATATATTATTGCAAGAAAAGGTAACCCTTTAGCTGAGACTAACTTAGCAGAATTCAATTAAGCCTAGGTATTTAACTGATATTAAAATGGGAAAGCTTGAAAAATAAATTTGAGACAAATTATTTTGAATTTACAAAACAATTCACTTGAAAATATGGCTACATTATCAGAAGTTTTAAATTCAATAGCTTCACTTTTAGTTCAAATATCACAATATGTTGGTCAAGAACTATCAGATAACTATTATAATTATGTTATACAAGCAATTAATTATGGTCATTCATTAGGAGTTGTAGGATTTGATAATATTATAAAAACTAATATATTAGCAGATAAGATAATAGGAAGGTTCTATCCTTAAAATTCATTTAATAATAGTATAAGAAATGTATAGCATTACTTCAAACTAAATACCGTATAGTAAAACTAGATTCAGCATAAGCTTCTATGAAAGCATTTATATCTGATAAATTTCTCTCTATTGATACTCCAGAAATATATGAAAAATGGATTAGTTCATGTTGTAATTACCATAACTTTTGTTTTACAAATATATAGCATTTTTGAGTTCGATAAGCTTCAACATAGCTTATACCTTCTTGATTGTTTCTGCCACTCGTCATCAAGAGAATTTGTTTATTAATTTTTAATTGCTGAGAATCCTTTTCTTTACGTTGAGTGATAATTCATTTAATAATCTCTTTTCAATGTTACTGTTGTCTAATCTTCAATCTGATTATTCTTTATCTATCTTTAATTATTGTACTTCTTCTCTTTTTATTATTCTTAACTTTAATTTAAGCTTTTCTAACCTCACATTATTTTAGTAGGTCAGCATTAATGAACTATTAGTGTTATGTATACATTGTTTTCATTTATGAGTATTCAGAATACTATTTGAGTACTAGGCATTAACTATTCTATTCTATAATTATTTCTTTAAGTTGTATATTCTTTCTTTATATTCATTCTATTATTAATTATAATTATTATATATCTTTATCTCTTTTGAAGGTTTCTTCTGAATATTACTTCTTTTTATTATTTCTTAATATTTCGTTTAATACTCTGTTTATTTTCTTCATATTTTTTTAATGGCGTTTAAATATTCTTTAAGTTTCTGTCATATTTTTATTATTCCTTCTGAATTTTATTCCTGCATTATTTCATTAACATTTTTAAAATTAAAGTTTATATACAAGTGAAATAACTTCATTTATTTTCATAATTTAATTGTTCAACAATTAATTATTTCAAACAAAAGTATTCATTTTTATTTATATTAAAAGTTTATTTATTAAATTTTTTTTTTTTTTATTCTTGAGAAAAATTGAATATTGAACATTAAAGATATTTAAGATGTTTATATACTAAATTTACATAGTAAAAGTGATGAATAGTAACTACCTATGATGAATAAACCAATTATTTCCTATGTGATATTTAATATCTATCACTAATTATAACTACTGGTGATGTATATTCTATTTATTACTACGTGATGTTTAATATTCACTTATCCTACTTTTAATGTTTACTTCAAATTCTTACTTTTATTTTTATTTCGAATTATTCATTCTTTATTACTAAATTCCATATTACTATTGTCTATTATTTACTTTCAATCTGTTGTATTATTTCGTATTTCCATTATATTAATTTTAATATTGGTATATTAATTCGTATTTGATTTCCTTTTAATTCTTTAATGTTTTACTTTTTCAGACTTCTGTTTTATACCGTATTTCATATTACTATTAACTTCTGTTTTTCTTCTGATTTTCATTTCATTTATGATGTTATGTGTAACCTTTATATTATACAAGATCCCATGTAATCCAGTTTGTCATTCCTAATGATTGTACCTTTTATGTAACCTTTTTGCATATTTGTGTAACTTCTTTAATTTGTTATTTTTCAAATATTTTCTGTCTTTTTATAAGACCCTCTGTTTGGTTGATTAATTATCCTTTTCCTTGACTTTTGTTCAATTATTTAATTATCTTTTTTCTTTCAATAATTAATTTATCTGAATTATTTTCTTCCGTAATTTATCCATTTTGTGTAATCTTCCATTTCGGTCTATAATTTATTTGAGTATTATTCTTTCTTTTAATAAAATGATTATTTCTTCTTTTATCACATAACTTTTCCTTATAATTTTTGTTGTATATTGTTAATCATTTTTGTTTATATTGCTGCACCTTAATTAATGAAATTGTTGACTCTACAATGTGTAGATACTTTATTATTTGCAAATGCTCTACCTATTCTTTATACTCATTTACTTAAAAATTTAAAATTATAAATTAAAATTGGAAATTTAGGCAGATCTAAATGCCATTTTATCCAAATTAATAATAAGTGGTTAGAAACTGATAGGTGTGTTAGTATTTCTTTCTTCAGTGAAGAAACTTTACCACATTTATCTATACAAAAAGAATCACAAGCTAAATATGAATTTATAGTTCGTCTTATAAAGGATTTAGATTATTTAGGTATAGTAATAAATCTCTCAAACTTAGAACTACAGTCGATCCTCTCTACAATCACACCCTTCAGGATTACCTTATAGTGTGATTATATAGAGGTGTGCTTATATGTGATTATGTAATTTCAAAAATTAAAATTAAAATTACCGGTATTTATTTTATTACATTTATTACATCTATAGTTTATCATTTTAGATTAGATTTTTAACACTTCGGCTAGATCCAAAGAGGTAAGTTTTGTTTTTTTTCTTCTTTGTTTCGTTCTCGCTTGATTATTAAATTAACCAATCTCTTTCTTTTTTAGATTTTTCAACATTTCAGCTAGATCCAAAATGGTAAGTTTCATTTCATTTCTTTTTTTTGTTTCGTTCTTCCTTCTTTCACTTGATTATTAATTAACCAATTTTCTTTTTTTTTTTTTAGGTTTTTGGGTTTCTTCAGCTGGATCCAAGATGCAAGGTGAGTGTTTTGTTTGTTTGTTTCTTCCTTCTTTCGCTTGGTTATTAATTAACCAATTTTTTTTTTTTTTTAGGTCTTTGGGTTTCTTCGGCTGGATCGGTGTTTCGTTTGTTTCATTCTTCCTTCTTTCGCTTAGTTATTAATTAACAAATTTTTTTTTTTTAGGTCTTTGGGTTTCTTCGGCTAGATCCAAAATGCAAGGTGGGTGTTTCATTTGTTTCATTCTTCCTTCTTTCACTTGATTATTAATTAACCAATTTCTTTTTTTTTTTAGGTCTTTGGGTTCTTCGGCTGGATCCAAGGTGCAAGATGGGTGCTTCGTTTGTTTCATTCTTCCTTCTTTCACTTGGTTATTAATTAACCAATTTTTTTTTTTTTGTTTTAGGTTTTTGGGTTCTTCGGCTGGATCCAAGGTGCAAGGTGGATGTTTCGTTTGTTTCGTTCTTCCTTCTTTCGCTTGGTTATTAATTAACCAATTTTCTTTTTTTTTGGTCTTTGGGTTCTTCAGCTGGATCCAAGATGCAAGGTGGGTGTTTCGTTTGTTTCGTTCTTCCTTCTTTTGCTTGGTTATTAATTAACTAATTTCTTTTTTTTTTAGATCTTTGGGCTCTTCAGCTTGATTCTAAGGCAGTAAGTTCATTTTCTTATTTTGCTTTAATCTTTATTTACTTTCTTTTTTTAAATATTTCTTTTAGCTTTTCAGATCTGGATTCTAGATGGTTATGGTAAGCTTCATTTTCTTATTTTATTTTATTTTTTCATTTGTTTAAAATTTTCTAAATTCTCATATTCTTTTTTTTTTTTTAAAATATAAGACTAGGATCAGTTTAGACCGGACTGACCAGATTGAGTAGGACCATTAGTTTTATGTGAAAAATTAATTTTTTATTTAATAAAATTTACTAATCTTTGACACTAAATTTCACGTGATTTATTATATTATTTTAACATTATTTATTGATCAAATAAAAATTTATTTAATTTATTACCATTTTATTTTAATTCATACCTTATGTAAATTTTTATTAACTAAATAAATTTTTATTAAAAAAAGTTTTTTGAAAAAAACTTTAATAAATTAAATCTATTTAAATTTAATTAACTATCATGAAAATAATATCGTGAAAATACTTTTTTTTTAAAAAACACATTTCCCACCTCCGCCCCACCCTATGATCTCAACTTTAATTTATACTTTTTTAATTTACACAAACGCGAACACGAAAAACTTATATAAGTTTGCAATACAAACCCCTTTATTTCAATAAAATTAGATTATCAACTGTAATCTCTTTACTAACTATCATGTTGCAATCTATCCATTCATGTCTTCTCTGAATCCGAGTTCATATTAGGATCAGAGCAGAAGAATATGTATGGCACTTTTATGCTAAAATTTTACGTTAGAGAATAAGATTGTGAAAATATGCATTGAAGATCTGATATTAAGAAAGGTATTGAGGGTGATGCATATATGGATTTTTTTTCGTTTTCATATTTATTCGAAAAAAAATAATCTATCATGATATACTAGATATGCTATTATTAAGATAAATTTATCTTCTACAGGTCTATGATCAAAGGAGAATAGAAATAGTCTGTCTCTTCAGAGCAAATATACATATCAGTTAATATATTATTTTTCTAAAACATTGCAAGAGAAAAAATTTGAAATATTTTTTTTAGGAAGGAAGGTCGATTTATGTATGAAATTATTTTATGCACAAGCAAATGGGAATGTTTCCAATAAATTCACATTACAGATTATATGATTTACTATGTCTCATAACTTGATTTTACTGAAAATATTCCCAAATGGTTGCACTTGCACAGATGATTGGTAATGTATCACTATTATATCATATACAGTCAACTCTCTATAAATGCACTCCCTTAAGATCAGACACAAATATGTATTTAGAAAGGATGTGCATTTATAGATATATATAAATTTATATTTCATTAATATAAAATTAATGTAATACAAAAATTTTATAGGTAACTATTATAAAAATTTTTTGTCAAAGTGTGTATTTACTTATTGAAATATATGTAAAATGTGCATTTCGCATATAAGTCCCAGCTTGGGACCAAGCAAAAGAGTGCATTTATAAAGGGTATGCATTTATAGGGGATGCATTTATGGAGAGTTGACTGTACATTTTAATGAAGATCAGAAACATGTTTATTTATGTTGCACATATCAAAAAAGATTGTAGCTTTTTTTTTGTAAGAAATTTTTCTTGACAAATTTCAGCTGAGTCATCTAGGGATGGGAAAAGTTCCAATTGGAGCGACTCAGAGTCAGTTCTAAAACTGAACGTCGGTTTCACTTGAGAGTCGGTTCTATTTAAATTATAATGTTAGTAATTGATTATTTTAAAAAATGTAAATAAATATTTAATTAAAATAAAAAAAATAAATTTGCGATTGAT